GCCACTGAGGGAGCAAGCTTCTTCTCCGGGGCAGGATTCGGGTTGGGCGCTGCCATGGCCGCTTGAGAGCCACCGTGAGAAAGGAACCTTGCGCCTGTGTGACGTTCATTCCGGAACCTGCCTGCGCTTGTCCAGTCTCCACTAAAGGTCCGCTCGCGTCCCCAGGGGGAGGCCCGGTGGGACGGCCCGGGCCCACGTCAGACGGCCAGAGCCCGGGCTGCTCCCTGTGGGCCTGGGGGTCGCCCTCGCTGGGACCTGCAGCAGCTTTCCCTTTGCCCCTCGCAGCGGGCGGTGCCTGTCTGTCTGTCCTCTCTCTGTCCCCATGCCTGGGACTTGGAGCTCCCGTGGTTTGCCTGGAGCCTCTCTCTTCCGGGGGGAGACTGTGCATCCATGTTGGATGGGAAACTCTGTCCCGTCCACGGGTCTCAGGGCGGGCGGCAGGGCGTGTTGGTGAAACACAGAAGGGCGAGAAAGGCCCCCAGTGCTGTCCGGGGTCTCTGGGAATTCTCCCAGGTCTGCGCCCCGCGTCCCGTGGAGCCGCTTGGGGAGGACTCAGCCTCGAAGGCAGCCTTTCTATTTTACCTCTCTGCCAGCATTTCGGTCCCCGTGTGTCCCCCCTCTGTGTGAGGGATTGGAGGTCCAGGTGCTAGAAACCCTGGAGTTCCTGCGCAGAAAGATGGAGCTCCCCTTCCGGCCCCTCCCCAAACAGCTGCTGACTCGGGCACGCGCTGTGCCTCCCTGAACCTTGGTTTGCTCATCCGCAAAGTGAGGGGGTGGGGCAGCTTCTCGCTCAAGTGTTTTTCCATTTGAAGCCTTTGAGTCTGTGGTTACTTCCTTTTTTTTTTTTTCATCAACAGCCAGTCCTATCAGAAGTCTGTTGACTTGAAAGGTTTGATGTTGGCATAGAAGTCAAGCTTCACTGGGTTGGAGAATAGGTCAGGCTTCCCCACTGGGGGCAGAGGGAAAAATCCCAGATCCAGCCCCGGCATCCATCCACGCAGGAATTCAGGGCCCCCGCTGGTCCAACCGGCACCTTGGATCAGAACAAAGCATCCGCCCTGGGGGCGCTCGGAGGCGCACGGGTGGCTGTGGCCCAGCGGGGGAAGATGGGCTGCTTTGGGCCCCTGGCGCTCCCGGGGGCCCTCGTGCAGCGCGGAACCCGCTTCCGCGTCAGGAAGGCCTTCACTTCGGGGTTCTGGCCGCGGTGGCCGCAGAGTAAAAAGAGAAGCAGCCAGAATAGATGTGAGCCGTTGATATGACAGGAGATATAACTAACTACTGTCTTAAAATACCTCATGCTGGTCCAAAGCTGCAAGTCAGGGCCCAAGGCGCTGCCCAGATCCAGCCCCTGCACAGTCTGTCCTATGGCTTCCGGAGCCTAGATGAGTGGTAATAATAAAATCCCGTACATTTTTATAGAACCTTACACTTTCAGCAGCACATTCCATGGACTTTCTTTTTCAACTTGACCCTGTTTTTAACCATTGCCCTGGCGAGTAACAGTTACCCCCATTTTAAGTGTAAGGGAAATGAAGCTGAGAGATTCGAAGACCTGTTCAAGGCCAGCCAGCCAGCCAGCCAGGGCTCAAGGCGAGAATTGAACCCACGTCTGTCTAGCTCCAAGTTCAAGGCCCTTTTCCTTCCACAACAGGTGCCGTAAGATCCTGACCTGGGCGGGGGCAGCCAGACCTAAGGGAATACCATGGGGAGGGGGGCAGTTGGAGTCAGTCTGAGGAAGCCATCCTCCACTTTAACAATGGCAGGACTCGCCCACACCCCCGCAGGGGGTTCTGGGGAGCTCTTGGCAGATCTCCCAGTTGAGCTGAAGTAGTCCCTTCTCCCAGGGGAAGTGATTCCGGGGGACTGGCTGACTTGGTTAAACACGCCTGTACCCCCATGCGCCGTTAGCCCAGGATTCTCTCCGGTATCCCCGGTATCACCTGTGAGGCGTCTGGGCAGCGCCGTGGGCGTCTAGAGGGGCTCCCATTGGGAAGCCGGCGTGTGCTAGGAGAAGAATCTCTGTAGGCCATTCCCGACACGCCCAGGACCCTCAGCCCCCATGCTCTTCTGAGGCGGCTTTGGCTCCCGCCCCGCGGCTTTCCTGTTCCACAGGAGCGGCCTCCGGCCCTCGCTGAGCTCCAGGCCCGAGGAGTCGCGGCCCACCCCACAGCCCCACCCGGGTCTCTCCTGGGGTCTCCAGCTTCAACGTGTCTGAGGGTTCACTGCCACCTTCTCCCACAACGCGCTTCCCAAACGCGCTCCTCCCGCAGTTCATGGGATTTCCACGGCGAGCGAGCGGCACAGTGCCCCCCCGCCCCCAGCTCAGCACCACATGACCTTCCCCTCTTCCGTTCCCTCCTCCATTACCACGTGCAGCTGGGCACCAGGACTTCGATTCTCCTTCCTACACATACCGCTGAAACCTGTTCTCTTTCCTTGGTTCCTACTGCCGGTATTTTAGTTGCGGTCCTCCCAGTCTCCGCCTCCCGTCTCTCCAAGGAGCCATCCTGCGAGGAGCCAGCCTTCTCTGGTCATTAGTTGTTTCTCGAAACACAAATCTGACTGCATCCTTTCCCTGTTTCATAACCTAAAATGACCTCCCCTGCTATAGGAGAGAGCTCGCCATTCTTGGTGCAGTCTTGGCTTGGCCAAAAACTCCGTCACCTTTTTTCTGTACAATGGCTCTAGTAACGCTTAGTTGTCTTTAACGTCATTCAAAACAATTTTGTTAGATGGTACTGTGACAGCTGTCGTATCAGCGTGCATTTTTAAAAAAACTTATCAAAATTGGTGAATTTTTATGCAGCCATTTTAATATCGAAGACAGAATAAAACATGTAACATTTTCAGCCTATTACGCTTTATTATTTCAGGAAAGGTAACCATGCAACTGAAATGCAAAAACAATTTGTGCAGTGTATAGCGAAGGTGCTGTGACTGATCAAACATGTCAAAACATGTTTGCGAAGTTTCTTGTTGTTGTTGACATTCTGGCCAAATAACTCTTTGCTGCGGGGCTGTCTCATGCACTGGAAGACGTTTAGCAGGACCCCTGTCCTCTACCCACTAGAAGCCAATAGTGGGAGATGGCCAACATACGCAACATATCCAAATCAATGAAGTTATTGGTGAAAATGAAAAAGGTGTCTTTTATTTACAGAAAAAACTAAAATGATTTTTTGGTCAACCCAAGGACACAACCCCCATTCCGCGCCTTGTCCCCAGCCTGCCCGCCTTTGCACGTGCCCTGTCCTCGGCTGCACGCCCTTCCCTGGGACCTCCTGGTCATTCTCCACGCCCTGCCCGCCCTCCACCTCGGCAGGGTAGGCGTCCGTATTTTGCTGTGTCTCATGTGCATCCTTGTTCTTCCCTCAAAAATCTGGGCAAAAAAGTGCGCATGATACATGGCAAAATACGGCACTTCCTGGGGGAGTGTATCACGCCGTCCCTGGGATCCTTCCAAGGCCCCTGCGGCCGCTGCCGTGAGGACGTGGCTTATTCTGAGCTGCAGTTTGTTTCCATGCCTGCCTTATTTATCAGACGGTGCGTCCTCGAGAGCAGAAACGGTCTCACTGTCTTGGGACTCCGAGGCGCTGACAGGCTGCGTGGCACACAGTAGGCACAGTCAGTGTCGCATGAATGGGTGGAGGGGAGGGACACCTGCATCTTCGAGGAAAACGGTGACTTAGCTCGAGGGGTGCTCATTGTCCTCCTGGGCGTAGTCTTCAGGGGACAGGGCAGACGCCATCCTGGCTCTCTTCCTCCCCAGGCTGAATGGTGACCAAGGACCGAGGCTGGGGAAGCATTTGTTCTGCACTGCGTTTCTTTCCTACAATTGTATCTGGGGTGAAGATGGGGAGCCAGGATCTCAGAGGAAATGAAGGGCCTAATCATTTTCCAGCACCGCTGCCTCCAACCAGGCAGGAGGTCGTCAAACTCCTGGCAAGACCCTGGCTGAGTTCTTTAGGGGGCCCTTGCAAACCACCTGTCAAACGGCTGGGAACAAGGTGCACCATGCCACTTTTACAGCTTCCTTCCACCTCGAGGCTCTTCCATGCTCCAGCAGGACTTGCGAGGGTGGGGGGTGGGGGGATCCTTAAAGTCAGCTTCAGGCTCCTGTGAACTTCAGTGGAGTCAATGAAGCACAACAGCTTTGGGCGGAAGGTGCTTCGGAGTGGCTCCGGTGGACTTTCCCTCCCCTTCCTCCATGGACGGGACCCAGGGAGCCGTCCTGCGAGGTGGCAGCGGGCTGGCTGCCGCCGCCTCCGAGAAACGAGGGACGTGCTGATCCGCTTTGGTTTCCCTTTCGGTTGGCAGAGCTGGTGTTCCCACTAGCTAACGGCTGTCGTTTACTTAACTCCATTATGACATAATGTGTTCCTGTGAAGCTCCTGCAAACGCTCGGGAAACAGGTCTTACTGGTCCTCGGTTCTGGGCAGGGTGGGGGGCTGGCCGCGGGACCCTGTTGTCAAAGAAGGGAGGCGCAAGCAATCTGCGTCCCAGCAAGTACGTCCCCGGGAGGCTGGGGAAAGAGGAGGCAGGTCCCGTTCCACCCCTGGCTCCAGGCCATGTTTTCATTTTGGCCACTTTCTGAGCCGGGTGAAAATTTGGCTTTACCTGGAATAATTCAGAAACATCTCAGCCCAACTTTCTGGAGAGTCTCAGGCCTTAACTTTTTCAGTAGCAAACAGAATGCCCCTGTGTCCCCGTCCAAGCGCTCTTAGGGGCCGGCAGTTGTTGCCGACTGGAGTCGGAGAACTCCCCCCAAACCCAGCCAAACTGTCCGGTGCCCCTGCCGGGCACCCCGGCGAAGGAGGGAAACTCTGCGGAGGGGCAAGAGGCGACTTAGAAATGATCCTTCAATGTTAGTTACTTACCCCTGGGCGCTGGTCCCATCCTTCTAAGGAAAGGAGTGAGCTGGAAGTCCCCTTCCAAAAAGAGGGCAGCTTAAAGTGTATTAAAACGCAGATACAACAACTACAAAAAGTCTTGAGACTCACCTTTCAGTCCCCCGAAGGGCTTCCTGCCGGCGCTGCGTCCCAGGGATCCCCGGTGCTGCCGGCGTCACCGCGATCTCAGGCGGGAGGCGGGCGGGGCGGGTAGGTCCAGGCTCGGCTTCGGAGCGCCCGCGGGTCCCAGCCGCGGGCGGCGCAGGGTGCGGGGTCGGCGGGCGCCCTGAGCCTACCTGCGCCGGGAAGGGCGCCCTCTGCCTTCCCCGCCCGCGGGCCGGCCGACGCCTCGCATTTTTGAGGCTTTACTCCAACCGCGTCCTGCCGCTGATGTGCTGATGTCACAGCCTAAACTTTCTGAATCAGCCGCGCTCGCTCTCCCGCTCCCTGGGCTCGTCCGGGAGTCCCACTGGAGCCCGCGGCCACGGTGCGCTGGGACTTGGGCGCACACGCCCCGGCCGCGCCCTCCGTCTTCGCGCCAGTTGCCCCCACCCGCCCGCCCCCGCTGTTACGTGTCTGTGCCCTCTCGTCCCGGGACACGCCTCCCGCAGGACACAGCTGCTCCTCCTCGCAGGGGAGCCGGTCCCCGGGCGCGTTCACAGACAGCTGGAAAGTTCCGGGCACCTGAGACCTTCTTGGAAAGGGGGCGCGGGGCGGGGCGCTGGAGAGCGAGGCCCTGGGTGGGGCCGATTGGGTGAAGGCCCGAAGCCTCCTTGGGACACGCAGAGAAATGACGGGCTCCCGCCGGCAAGTGCTGTGCGCGCAGCAGCGCCTCTGGAAGTGGGCGCGCTCCGCTCCCTGCGAGCATCCAGGGCCTCTCCCGCCAGGCAGGAGCTGTCAGAGGGCCGAGGGAGCGGCGTAGCCCCTCAGGAGTCTCTCGGACGCCCTTCCCCCGCCCTCAGTTGCCCTCCACCCACTTTCACTCAGATCTTGGCGGGTCCGTTTCTGGCGCCTGGGACGCTGGAAAATGAAACGTGGGATGCAGAACTCGGGGACACAAAGCCTCAAAGACTCAGGGCAGGGAGTTTATTCACGTCTCCATGGTTACAGGGCGGGGTGGGGAGGAGGGCGTGAGGCAAGGACCTGGCCTGGAGGGGCCTCCTCAGAGTCCCCTGTGGCAGGCCTTCTAGGACACAGACAGGGGCTGCTGCCCTCCTGATGGTTCCCGCCAGGTCGCCCAGGTGCCTGGTGCTAAGGTCTGGCGCTCTGCCCACTGCGCTTGAGCGCTGGGGTCTTCCGCCTCTGCACTTCAGCTCCTGAGCAACTTGTTAGCATTAGAATGAGTCAGCCGTTCTTACCAGGACCAGGAGACACCTTTCTGTGCCTGCGGGAGAAACCAAATGGTTGAAAGGCCAAAGAGAACACCCAGCCCTCTGGGTAGAAATGCCAAGAATGTTTCAGGAAAATGAAAAAAAAAAAAAAAAAGTTGCCCTGGAAGGAGATTAGATGAGACTTCCCAGAAATCCAGGCACCTGAGCTCAGTCTGGATTGGAACAAGAGGAAGGGGAAGGTGGGTCCCAGAAACAGGTGGGCTAACAAACATGCGGGCAGGGCCAGGGAGCCAAGGCTGGGCCGAAAGAAAGCTCTCCAGCTCCGGGGGCCCAGGCTGGGGGGCCGCTCCCACGGGAGCTAGAGAGCAGAGCGCAGCGGCTGCAGGAGAATCGGGGCGGATGGGCGTGCAGGTGGGGACCAGGCAGGCGTTTCCTTCCACGCCAAGGACGGACACTGGAGAGTGGGCCAGGAGCTTGACATGTCACATGTCAATTCAGTGCTTCACCACGCATTTATGAGATGGAGTGTTATCCCTGTTTTACAGATGAGGAAACTGAGATTCAGAGAAGCAGCTTCCTCAAAGTCCCGCCACACATCAGTGGTGGGGCCTGGATATGAGTCCACGTGTCTCCCACCCCCGTCATCCCTGAACAACTGGGTCCGCAGGTAGAGGAGGGCCCCCCTCCCGTGAGGGAGTCCCGCTCAGGAGCAGGGATGGCGTTCGGGCCTGGTCAGGAAAAACTACAGAAAATACTCACCTAGAAGTCTGTTGCGTTGGCCGAAGAGTCCATTTGGTTTTTTCCGTGAAGTAAAAGACACATTTTTCATTTTCACCAATAACTTTATTGATGTGGATGTTTTGAGTTTGTCAGCCATCTCCCGCGTGGTGTAACATTGATGGTTCTCAATTAATTTCTTGATTTGATTGCTGTCAACTTCAGCTGGTTTACCTGAACATGGAGCATCGTCCAGCAAGAAATCTGCAGCACGAAACTTTGCAAACTGCTTAAAAAAAGAAAGATTTATTTACTTTTAGAGAGGGAGAGACATCAACGTGCGAGAGAAACATGGAACTGGCTGCCTCTCACGTGCCCCCAGCTGGGGACCTGATCCGCAGCCCAGGCACGTGCCCTGACTGGGAATCAAACCAGTGACCTTTTGGTTCGCAGGCCAGCACTCCATCCACTGAGCCACACCAGCCAGGGCAGCAAACCACTTTAGACCCGTTTGATCAGACATAGCACCTTCTCCGTACACTGCACTAATCTTTTTTTGCATTTCAGTTGTGTTTTTACCTTTCTTGAAATAATAAAGCATAATAGGCTGAAAATGTTGTATATTTTCTTCCATCTTCAATATTAAAATGGCAACACAAAAATTCACCGATTTTGATAGTTTTTTTTAACGCACGCTGATATGACAGCTGTCACAACACAGTCTAACAAAATTGCTTTGAGTGACATTAAAGGCAACTAAATGCTCCAGAGCCATCTACGGAAAAACCAAGCAAACCTTTTGGCCAACCCAAGAGAATCATGTTACAGGTTGGCTCTGGCCTAAGCGGCAATTATTTAGGGTTGCTTTTAAGAGAAAACAGGAGGATGCCAGTGGAGGCAAACTGAGGCAAATGGCTTGAACGCAGGGCTTCTCGGACATGGCAGTCGAGGGCAGGAAGAAAATCACAGGCCAATCTGTCGTCAGAGTGGCGGCTCTGCGATGTGTCAGAGTGAGGGGAGAGAAACCGGGGCTCGCGGGTGAGCAGGAGGCCAGCGCGCCTGTTCCCAGAGGGTTGCCGGGCCGCGGAGCGTGGCGAGGCTCTGACGCTGCCAGGAAGAAGCCATCCTGGCGGAAGAAAAGCAGTGGGCGCCTCTCCCGGGCGTTCTCGCTCTGGGAGGATGGGCACCTCTCAGGGAAAGCCGGTGAGAACACCCCCCCTGCTGTGTTATCCTCTGGGCAGCGAGTCCCAACTCATGAAGCGCCCCGGGCAGCCACAGCTGTGACGCTGTGCTTACGCCTCCCGACGTTTCAGGGGTTCAGTGAAGATATTTGAAGGTGGTCAGGAAGTTGGTGGGCTCTACATGGGGTGAAACAGAGCATTAATATCTTTTTTTTTTTTTTAAGAAACCAAAATAAGCAGACTTGTGTAATTTAAGTGACCACTCACCGCTAGCACCTGGTTTCACAGTGTTGGGGACAAAGCGTTGCCCTGCCCCTCAGAAGGCTGCGAAAGCCAAGGGACACCCAGCACAGGGCGCCGCCTGCCGTGGAGGCCAGGGGCTCCGCTTGCTCTTCTCCCGGCCGAGCCCTGTCTCAGACAGGTGCCTTGCATGGCGCGTCGGTCCCCCGGTCCCCGTCTGTCCACCGTGTGTTGCCTGCAGATTCTTCCCCTCAGCCTGCAGCCCCCCACCCCCACCCCCACCCTGGGTGTACAAGGCGTGTAGAAGTTACCATCCGTGCAGCCAGGACAGCGCTGCCCCCAAATGGCCGTGTTCTCCAGGTATGGGAAATATTAAACTGAGAACATTCTTTTACTCTCCCCTAAAAACTAGGCTGTGTTCTGGCCTGCGACATCAGGGCGACAGCCTTGGAGCACAAGTGGGCCACCCAGAGTCGCTGGTGCTGGGGGCGGCCGGGGTGCGAGGGGGGGCCTGGACGTGGGGAGGGCCGTGGCCAAGGCTCGGGCTGTTAGGAAATGCTCAGCCGTCGGTGGCCTGGATGAGATGGGCCCAGACTTGCTCCCCGCATCCTGACTGGGAGGGCGTCCTGCCGCCACAAAGGCGGCAAGTTCGGGGCATGTCGGCAGAAACCCTACGCCGCACGGCCGGTGGTGAATCTGTGGAGTGGACCATCTTGCGGGGGCGGCTCCGGCTGGCACCGCAAGTGGATTCCAGAAGGGTTCGGACAGACGTGTTCGTGGCGGAACCGTGGGGAAGCCGCAGGAAGCTGAGGCCTGCCCCGCGTGGGCAGGAGTTCAGGGTGGCCCGACAGCCCTCACGCTGGGCGTCTGTGGGGGCTTCGGGGCCCAGAGCCCCGGCTGCCACGGCGCTTGGACTCGAGCCAGCTGGCAACACCAACACAGCCTCCCTCGTGCTGCTGTCTCCGTGGCCTTTGCTCGCGAAGGCGGCAAAGCCTTGTTCTTTTTGCCCGCGCCAAGTACTTTTCTGCAAATGCTTTTGTTTCAGCCTCACGCGTATTCAGTTGTAGCAGGTTACTCAAAAACCAGCACGTTTTCCAGCTTAATTATAGCTGTTCTAAGAAAACATTTCCTCTGTGATTGCCCCTCACCGGGGATACTCCTTACAGCCCTTTAAACAGGCGTCGCTTTCTCATTCTGGCTTTGGACATCTAAATGGATTTTGAGAGCTTGTTTTCATACCAGCTATTGTTTTTATCTCTTGCCATTGGATTTCTGTTCAGCCCTTCCCTCCTGAACTGTCAAATTCTGACATAAATTACTCTAATTATGAGTGCTCCTCTAGGAAGAGCCAAGACAGTGAACCTACCCTGGGAGCGCTGTTTAAGGCTAAATTCAAACGCTTTCCGTGCTGCATACAGGATGGCAGGAAAAATGTTACTTTCATGGCTGTAGCTCCAAATCTTGGCCTTGGGGGCAGTTTTGGAATCTCTGGGGCATCTCCTCTAATAACCACGCTCCCCCCACAGCCATGTGCCTCTGTGCCACGTGCTTTGTGCGCCGCAAAGGCCCTGCAGGTTCTCGGAAAGGAGCGCCGCTTCCGGTCGGTCGGTGGGGGTCCGTGGGGCTGGTGCGTAAGTGGGGGGTGCTGGCTTGGTACAGCCATTATTTAGACCCTGGGGCCTGAAAGGGCTCAGTTTCATTCTGTTCCCGCCCCCCACCCCAGTTGTGTCCCGAGGCTATTTTCGCAGCCCGCCCCCCCCCCC